AACTCAATAGAGTGAAGAAAATGCGGATAAGAACGAGAAAGGTGGACTTCGTCGTTTTCGATCGACCGGGTACGACTAAACAACAAGTATTCTGATTAACTGACAAACATCCTCGACGTGGTCTTTTTCCCCGAAAAGAGCAAACAGTGGAGGAGACAGGACACATTAAACTCAACTAGCAAGTACGGCACCGGTACAACCGGAGTATTGTCTATAATCCAAAAATACCAATATCATAAATCAGAATTCTTAAAACATGACTGGTAGATCTACAAAGCCTCGTCAGAATCTGCAGTGGAGTAAAACAAAGAGTCGAGAATAGCTAACGAGAAAAAAACCAGATTCAAGGATATGTTACCCGACCTCATACCGCTTGCTGTCATGCAGCATATGAGGATTACTGAAATACACAAGCTAGACACCTTCGGAGTTAACAACAAATAGACTCATTCAAACGAAACCACTGGAATCTCCATGTGACTGATCTGCCTGTGATACTCCCTCCAAGAGCGTACAGTAGACCGAAATCTCAAAGGAAGTAAAATCCTCAGATGCCGAACGTTTGAAACCAAATTCGAAACGTACGGGTGTCCATCCCGCACCAAAGGAAAAGGACAAGTCTTTATTCTTCAAGTAATCCACATTTATGATCATCATTTTCGGCTTTTCGTATTTGAAATGCCTCAAGTTTTCGCCCAGGAAGTCTGTTAGCTCGATGCCGTTCGTCGAGAAATGGAAGCGGTTCTTGGATCTTTGGTTTTCGGACTCCATCGCTGGAAATGGGTGGAGCTTACCAGATCCACTGCCACTAATCGCCACGCGTGGATAATTACAATCTGTGGCATAATTGAGGCCGGCTAAAGCAGACATGATCACAGCCGTATCAACTACTAGTAACTTACTCCATAAATGTATTTCTCCTACGTGCTGTTCAATAGTCTAAATTAACTTTCTAGACCCATTCAGCAACTTGAAGGTAAACTTTGGAAGCATTCAGATAAGAGATACAAAGCAGTGCGTTGGAAATGGAGACTAACAATGAGTCTCTGAAGAGTATTTTAAAAAGACTTTCGAAAACGCCGAATGTGCGGTCAGACTAGAAATTTGAAGCAGCACAGCAGAGGGGATCAATAGGCTTACCTCGTGCAGCGTAGTAACACAGAAAAGTGTCATTGTTGCCCCACATATCAGAGGGTCGGAAAATGATGGCATCAGGCCGCTCCCTCCGAACTTCCTTCTCCCCGACTGCCTTCGTGCGAAGAAACTCCGAGGGTCTCCACACATACTTTGGCGGTTTTGGGTTCTGTGTGAGGGCCGAGACGTGCACAAAACGCTCAATGCCCATCTCCTTGGAGAGACGAGCGATGCGTGCCGCGCCCTCCACATTAACTTGCTCCAGCGTGAAGTTGCGTGTGTTGTT